CAGTCATGCAGAGCCTAAGCACAACCAAAACAATGTTCTTCCATAAAATGCATGCAGTTTTGTTTAAATCTCTAGAGCCTATGTTTTTGTTATTTTCGGTAAATTTAGAAAACAATGTAGATTCATAAATATATTTTAATGAAAAAATAAAATGATAAATACAATAAAATGTAAAAGAGGTTTCCACATACAAATACACGATTAGTAAATGACAGACAGGCAAATTCTAACATTAAAAGCACAGTGCACATCCCATGTGCCAACTTGAGATATTAATACCAATGGCTCATAGAGGTCACCTTTATTTGAGCAGTGTGAGAAATATAGACTTATTGAGAAGGGCTGGGCTGAAGATTAGAGTATTGATTTTGCACGGCAAAAATCGGGGTGAGTGAGACCTGTGAAGGGAGCGTGTTTGAGAACGCAGCTTTAAAGGGTGTGATACATTTGACACGTTTTCCTATTGAGTGAATATGACAGGGAACAATAGCCCTGTATCTGCCATGAAGTAGTAAACACACTCACCTCCATATTTACATGTGAAACACACAAGGATAACCATTTCCTGAAACCCAATAGCTGATTCTTACTGTTTAAAAGAAAAATAACCAAATAGCACCCCAAAAAATTGCAAATTATATACTAATGTTATCATCAGGAGGACCAAGTCATTGGTAGTCATCCAATTACTAATGTGAATAAAGTTGAACTTTGTCCCATCGTTAACGGTCCATATTGCTCATGCCTCCACAAGAAAAATGCCAACTCTCATTAAAAATGAATGTCTGGTTGCATTGTCATTGCAATTCACTTTAAGTGTGAAAAACCCTTCGCTTGCATTTGCATAATTCTTTTAGTGAATCGAGCGCTAAAACTATGCAGAAAGTGTGTGCATATAAAAGGCACTATAGGGAGAAGCTATTCAGTTAAAGTCAATTCTTCTTGGTGTACAGTATTGTTTATCAGTGGAAGATAGCCTGAAATATACAGACAAAAACTTATCTTTTGTGATGGTCCAAAAGTGAAATAAAATCACACTTGTGTAACATGACAAGATTGAAAATCTCTCAAGAAAGTAAGGAAACTATAGGCTAAATTTAGGTGTGAAACTTCTACTAGGAAGTCAGTATCTATCTATCTATCTATCTATCTATCTATCTATCTATCTATCTATCTATCTATCTATCTATCTATCTATCTATCTATCTATCCATCCATCCATCCATCCATCCATCCATCTATCAACATCTGTCCATATACTTCTATCTATCTATCTATCTATCTATCTATCTATCCATCTATCCATCCATCCATCTATCCATCCATCCATCCATCCATCCATCCATCCATCCATCTATCCATCCATCCATCCATCCATCAACATCTGTCCATATACTTCTATCTATCTATCTATCTATCTATCTATCTATCTATCTATCTATCTATCTATCTCTCTATCTATCTATCTATCTCTCTATCTATCTATCTATCAACATCTGTCCATATACTTTATTACGTAATTTGCATAGTGGCGCTTTAAAAGTTGAAATTAACAACATCATGGCTATTTAAAAGTCCCATATTTCACACTCCCACTTGGAGTCCTAAGAGACTAATAAATAATACATGCCCACAAAACACGTGTGTCCTGCCCAAATGTACTCAGCACCAGGTGACACAGCGTTCACAGGAAACCCCCCTGCAGTTTGGCCCCACTCCTCATGTCAAATAAAGAGGGGACAACAACAATGCGCCACCCCTCATCTTGCCCTCTCCACCCTTTTCACTATCCCGCGCCAGCCAGCCTTTGTGCCAGGCCCCCGATGCCCACGGCAGATGGCGGAGTGGGTGGCAGGTACTAGCCTCCTGGCACAGCAAACATCTGTTATCATTACCAAATGCTAATTGCCATCAATCAAGACAGTACCCAAGTGCATTTATATGCAAGGTTCATAAGCGGAGGAGTGTGTGGGAAGGGGGGAGGTAGACATAAAAAGTGATGTCTAAATTTCCCTCGGAGCGTTGACGGGGGAGAACACTGTGGTAAGAGGAAGCTGAAGGTATTATTGAGGGTGGCAGGGTGATCTCCTTGTTAATGTGAAGCCCATGAGCTGAGCTGTAAGCTACTGTTCTCCTCCATCAATAGTGTGCCCTGTTGTGCTCCAACATCTTCCCAAGTGCAGCTTCAAGAAATGAGGTGAAGCTCAGGAGATGCAAAGCATGGTGTGGGTCTCAGCTACTGTGTCCCTATGAATAATACAAGGGCGCAATCTAAGTTCAGAAAAAAACACTTTTACACACCAAGCCAAACACCAAAAGTACCAAAAGTCTAAAGCCTCAACAATAGGATACAACAAATATTGTTGACCAAGACACTCCAACCACATGTTAAATTGCCCCACATGCACTTGTATTGAATATGTAATGTATTGTTTGCTCAAATTCATGCATCATAATCAAAAATTGAACACACTGATTACAGAATTGAATAATAATCAGATTCTTTTTAAATGGTCGTTGAATGTCAATTCATGTTTTGAATTGATTCACATGATTTGCAAATGTATAACAGATATTTAACAACTTAATGTCTTCTGTTGGTTTGCTGACATCATATATATATATATATATATATATATATATATATATATATATATGTATACATACATATATATATATATATATATATATGAAGAGCTCAGATGCAAAAGCCTCTAAGTGCCATTTGAAATTTTCTTCTAAAATGATCATTTTTATCACGCTTATATATTTAAGTTCAGTAAATTCACTTAAATGACAATGAAGATTACCTATGAATTGCCATTTAAGTGAAATTACTGAACTTAAATATAAAAGCTTGATAAAAATGATCATTCTAGAAGAAAATTTCAAATGGCACTTAGAGGCTTTTGCATCTGAACTCTTCATATATATATATATGTATGTATGTATGTCTGTGTCTGTGTTTTATAATACATCAGGATAAGATATGTCCAAATATGCCAAAGACTTTACATTTTCTGATTTAAGGTAAAAATAGATTATTTACAACACTATAAATCATATTCAAAGATCGAGATTAAATTAAAATGTAATACATATACAACCCAGTACATCGATACACATGCACAGCTTCCATGTCAAATGCAAAGTAAGCATCAAAGAGAACACATTATATTTGTATAGGCTTGGGTTAAAATGCCCCACTCAGCATTATTCAGTAGGGCCCTCTGTTCTCCTTTTCTATCCTCGGCCTGAAAAATGTTGAAGACCCAATGCTCCAGAGCAGAAGCGTCCTCACTTGGTTTCTTTACCAGTTAACTGAGACATAGAAGTGAGCCGGTATAGCTTTCCTGTGTCCTAACTCTGCTGTGTGCAGATCAGCGAGTGGGTGTGTGCTGGCACTGTCGGCCCAGGCGCGGTGTGAGGGCCCAGACCCCTTGAGGGAGATGGTGGGCTGACTAAGCAGTGCTCTCTTGGATCCATCGTCCTGAGCCGGTGCCACGGTGCCACCTGCGCCAAAGAGGAGCGCTACGGCCACCGTCTGCTCTAACAGTCCATTCACAGCCACCCATATGGTTCGAGCCTCAGGGGATCTCCGTGCCAACGGGGTGGAGGGTGAGGTGGTTCATTTATCCACACATCACAGCTTTAGAAAATTGCATATATCCGATTACACGCTTCATTGTTTTATATCCTTATTTTATTGTAGCCATTTCAAATTGTAACATAAACCTAGAATTTACACAAAGCTTCGACTGACTGATAATGTGCATTTTTTTTTGCTGTTGTTGTAATTATGGTCTTTGTTAGACGGGCTATCGTTCGCCACAGCTGGCCTGTGTCACGGACACATCTGCGTCCACTTAAATTGCTCTCTGACGGGTCGCTAAATAAGTGTCGGGCCACACATTGCCCATTTTGCTCAGAAATTCATGCGACGACCACTGCCATAAACATGTAAGCTAATAAACACGGGCTCTATAGCTGTAAAAATCCACATTAAAGCCTGCAAACGGCACTCTTGACTGAACATCTGTTAAGTGACATGAAACAACCTGATCCTGAAAAACACAACAGGGACTGCATAAACTTACAATGGCGTAATTTCTCTCAATTAGATTCTCCCACAGAAAATTAAACAATCTCACGCCATTGCCCAGCAGCATAAAGAAACCAGCTTGGAGCCAAGTTCACCAAAGTATCAATTAGTGAAAACTAACGACACTGTAGCAGTGCATTTTAACTGATTTTGATATAGGTTCCACATTGGACTAAACAAAAAGAGCCCATAAAATATATTATGATGAATTGAGCAAGTCCAACAATAAGATAATGTATTAGTACACTTACCAGTAAGGTTTAATGCGTGAAAGTAAACAAGTGTTATAAATGTATTGTCAATAAAAATTTTAATGTTCATGTTGGTTCACAGTACCCCGCATGATAAGATGCAACACTCAGTATACTCGAATGCAAAAACACAAAAAATAACATTGTTATGATATGCATGCATAGACAGTTAAAACACTGACCTAATTTCTGACAGTAGCAACTTAGAAACGTGAAAGAGTGAACATGAATAAAGTTGTGAGATTGCAGATTAAAAATGCAACTTCAAAGCCTGTAGGTGCGATTTAATTTTTAATATGTTTACAGCCTACTGCAACTGCACCAAATGTTGCAGCTTTATTTATTTTTTTTAATAATCATTTTTAGAGAGAGGGGGGTGTGTGTGTTCACACATCCCTATTCCATTACATCTGGAAGGCTGTAGTAATTTCAGAAGATACAATGGCCTATAAAAACTTGTTTGCTTAAACTGTGAACAGCACATATAAGGATTGCATTTAAATATTTAATCTGATAACATAGGTAACATGACCACAGATTGTAGTAAAGACACAGAGCGAGCTTAAAAACATAAGATAGAGATATTGGCTCATTTTTTCCTGAAATGCAATCCCCATCAGAGGACAAATATGGGCAAGGTATGCCAGTTCCTCAGCACGGCTATGCTAACAGAATCACCTTTATCCACATAGACAGGTGTCAGCGTCAGCAGTTGGGCTGCCAGTGGAACAGGCTGTGTCTGCAAGCCATGCTGTGCCAAAGAGTCCCGATCTTCATGAAGGAACGTACGAGTGTGTGGAAACGTAAGACCATCTTCCACAATTTCGAAGCATATTTATGAAGTTTTAATCAAACTGAAAGTCGTATGTATGTGTCAGCAACCGTATCGCCAGTTAAGAGTGCACTTAACAATCATCATGAAATCTGGCGATGGTGATAAGCCAGAAAATTATTGTTATCGGCTATGTTATAAACAGACGATATTAAAATTCTTTACCATTTCATCCAGATCAACAAAAAATAACGACAAGTGAATTAAGGCATCGCAACATCATAATGTCAGGTTTGAAAAATTATCTTGAGACTTGTTAGAGGTTACATTTAACTGTCAGTGAATTATTAGTGTGTTTAAAGATTAACTTTAAGTGTGTGTCAGACGGCAAAGGTAATCAAAAGTGTAAAAATAGGGGAGATACATTAAATATCTAATATCAACAAAAGGATAAATAAATAAATCTGTAATAGCTGATATTACGAGAACACTATACTGTATCATGCATCCCTATTAATTACTTTATGAGGAATGAGGAAACTTACTAAAATTAGCATGTTATCCTAATAACAACAACATGTATAACAAATCAAAATCTTTTTTCCACTGACAGGCAGAGTTTTAAACAACTCACAATTTCTCTACATGGCATTTAATTTATGTTTGACTCCAAACATTGTCCTTGCAAAAGCAAAATGAGTAAACAGCCATTAGAACTGACTATAATGCCTGAGCTTAGCATATCACGAGTGCAGGGCAGAGGAAAACTCCACCATATGGCCACAAGTGTGTCCATTTTAGCTCTATCCCAACCAGTAGCCACACATCTGGACAGCCTTCATCTCTAATTGCCACTAATGTCTGAACACGACATGAGTCAAGAAGGAATTAACCCTATACAGGACCACTGACCTGGATTTAGCCACTTTTTCGTCTGTGACATACATGGGAAAAAAAGGATGCATTTCAAGCACAGGTGCGCAGGACGTTCACTGATGCCCGAAAATATGAATTATATATATATATATAAAAAAAAAAAAACACATGAATTTGGAATCTGTCTTAATGTCTAAATACAAGAATGTGAGCAAACAAACACGCCAACAACATCAAACAGGTAGCAAACACAAGCTTGATGGCAAAAGGACTTTGTGGCAAGACACGCACATTTCTGGAGCAGCATGCCCTGAAGGAGCCTCAAGGAGCGACCGGGAAAACACCGAAAAATCTAGTGCGTGAACAAACACTTCTTTTCATGAGTTGTGTCAGTGTGTTCATGCACTAGATGGCATATTCAGCAAGCAAATGATAACAGGCAAACTCACTTTGTGGGTTAGCAATCAAAGAGAGGGAGTTTTACAAGGAGACGATCGGCTGATGCAGGAAGGATAAAAATTCTCAAGAACAAGTTGAGTTCAACCTCCGCCAGCGCAGGTATGTAATCTATGTAGGGAATGACAGGTCATACTACCCCCAACAACAGAGGCAAGATTTACACCCATCCATCCACTTATCAAAAGTGTCATGCAGAAAAATAATCCTCCAACAAGAGTGATAGCACGCTTGTCCTTCGACACGCACACAAAAAAAAAGTATTAAAAAAAGTATTACTAAAATGAAGAGCTTTCAAAATAAATCTCCTCTAGGTTAATAAAGTTGTCATGCACTGGATTTTATTAACTCAATGTCAATAGATAAATAAATATATAAAACATCACTCATCGGCACTTCACCCAATATGTTTACTTTATTACCCTTTTAAAGAAACAGGGTGACAATATGTAGCAATCAAGCCTCTCGTCTGATTGGTCGATGCGGGTTGGAGATTGTGTTTGAGACCCAACTATCCCCTTAAATGCCACATTCCCATGGTTACCTCGTCCAGAATGGCTTCTAGCTCACTGAACTGCACCAGTTCTGATGGATTTCACTTTAACAGCCTTTAGAAACAGGCTGACAGGTCTGAGAAAGTGGAAGAAATGTCATTCACTGAAACTGTTGAGTTGATGCATTGGGTGCATGTGTCATTGCTTGGCGAGGATGTCGAAAAAATTCACTTTTAACTAAAACTCTTTCCCTAAATCATATGTAAGCTGGCCTATGACTCATGCAAGACATGTATGAACCAGCGTTGACCTAACCACACGCAACAAGACAAAAAAGATGTCTTTCGTGTTAATCTCAGTGTTTGTCCTAACCAGCCGTGAATGTGACATGGTTAGGACCAAATATACAACAAGCCACGAATTGCAGGACATTAGCCCTGCCAACACTGGAATCTTCTAAGTCCAAAATTTTGTTTCACATCAAATATCTTCTGATTCGCTGTTATTGTGTGTTTTCCAATTCTCATTGGAATGACTTGTTGTAAGGACAATATTAATGCAACCTCAAGGCAAAGGAGAAATGAGATAATTAAGATGTCTGCTTTGACTGAAATTAGAAGAAAGCGTGTATAATACAGCCACAAAAATATGACTTCTGAAAAGAAAATCAGAAATCATTTGGGTTAAGCTGCATTATGGTGTAATGTCAAATTATTTAGAAATAGTTGCATTTCAAATGATTTTGTTGCATCTTTTGTACACTACCATAGTATATATAATAAATCAATACTCTAAAATTGAAGACTGGGGATATGGCTGCTTTAAAATTCAGATTGTCCTTCACAGGAATAAATTATACTTTAAAATGTGTTAAAATAGAAAAATAGTATTGTAAAATATTACTGTTTATAAACAAATGAATAAATTCAGCCTTGTTAAGCATAAGAGACTTCTTTTTAAAAAAATGATCCCTTATGACCCCAAACATTTGAACAGTAATTTATATTTCCAGCCAAGAAAATGTTTAATATTCCAAATATTTAAATATAGTGAAACAATGTTCAACAGCAATAGTATTTGTAAAAGTATTTCCTTCTTTTAGCTGCAAAGCTCACTATCGCTGTAAGATCTATATCTAATCTATACCCAGATAATTTACATGATTTTACACTAGTAATTCTTTAACAGTAAATTGTCTACATGGCAGGTAAAATGATTTTTATGCCAAACCAAATTAAATAACCATATTTTGGCACTTTTTTTCCATATGATGCGCCATTTCTAAATATAACATGCTACACAAAGTGAAAAGGGGCCCACTGACACCACGACTGACTGACCTCTTGGCAAGTCCATCACTCGCATGCCTGTGCCCTTAGGAGTCTTTCTTTTTTTTTTCACTCATGGAGTTGCTGTGCTGTCCCTCATGCTGAGTTTGGGAAATGAGCCTCCCTGTACCAATTTGTCCTGGTCTTTCAGCCCCTGTCCCTGATAGACCACCTGCCCAGGGCCTCTCATTGCTCCCATGCAGGGGGTGGCAGTGCCCTCCATGGGCCCTAACTCCCGAACCCAGCTGCCTTAATGGCCGCCGTGTTGCCCTATCGTGCCAGGCAGTGAAGCATGGCTCTGCTCCACCAGACGCCAACACTCTCTTGGAATGCTAATGACCTCTTCCATTTCCATCTTCCGTTCAACTCCAGACACGTAGCCAACCCTTCCCCCACAATCTGTTGTTTCCGTCAGGCACGCATGCAAAGAATGACAGTTTGTAATAAAAGGTTCATATAACTGGAAGGAGTCTACAATACATGCATTCAGGAAAATTATGAGATTCAGACAAACATTTTGAGATTGTTTTTTTCACTGCGAGCAGCTTTTAGCTGGTCGTGCACTTGACTGTCGCACTGCGTGAGTTCAGTAGCTCAAGTGCACTTACAGACACCTCTCCCAACACCCCCTACCCCGCATACTCGGGCTGAATGAGAAACTAGCATCCCCTTGGGCACATTCATTCCTAAGGTGACTGGAACAAGTGGAGATCGTAGTCTGCATTTACTAAAAATGAGAACAGATTTAGAATTGAAGGGGAGGAAAACAGGAATCGCAGACGGTTCCAAACATCTACTCTAAACTAATTTAAGTGGCTGTTGATATTATTCAAAGAGGTTCTCAGATGCTTAAGGCGTTTAAGATGAAAGCAGTCATCAAGCCCTATGTTGTCCTCTGGATAGCTAGCAAGAGCCCATAATAGACCGGTATACCGTTACAATGGTTTCCTTATACAGAAAAACCACTGCAATTGTGGGGTGCCGTCTACATAATCAATCCATTTAAATTGTGTGTGTTCATATGCTAAAAGCCTCCTAATCTAATACAGAGATGATTCAATTAAAATTCCAGAACAAATTTGAATTAAATTATACTCTAAAGGCCTGTTTTCACAAACTATAACAAAAAAAAAAAAAAAAAAAAAAAAAAACTGAAATTGTAAAAATATATATTTAAATGATTTGCATAATGCTTTAGTCTGACGAATTTATTCCTTGTCTTAAAATAAACCCAAACCTTAAATCGAGCTGTTTAGCATCTGATAAGCTTCAAAGCAATTCAAAACTATAAATGATCCATTATTTAAGTGATTTGCAATCATTTTAAAATCTTATCATCCATGCTTTTTTTATACCAAAAGTTCAGCAGCTTCAAAACCCAATTTGTAGACACAAAAACCTTTGAATGTTTAAAATGTACGAATGTGTCCTTTAATTTGAATGTGCAAATCATCATTCACACCATGGATATGTGTGTGTGTAACGGTGTATTTTTGAGACCTTCCTTGATTTGAGATCTTCATTTTTGACAGGCCATACCTGAATTACATCATCAGCTTTCGGCCAGTTCATGGCTGAGAAGAGGTAAGTGTAGTTAATCGTTCATTTCTGTGTTACTGAAGGGGACCTATTATGCAAAATTCACTTCTGTATGGTTTTTGAACATAAATGTGTGTTGGCAGTATGTGTACACAACCACCCTACAGTTATAAAAATCCTCTCACTCATTTTTTTTAAAAATCCCCATAAATCATAAGCAGAGTCTCCCAACGACCTGTTTTCAGAATGCGGCTTTACATCAGAGACTTATTTTACATCTTGTGAAAAGGGGCATGATGGGTCTCCTTTAAAGATCAGGTGAAGCAATAGTTTATTAACTGCTGTTTAGTCCACATGTGAACAGTTTTTGTGTACAGTTGTATATCTACGAATTGTATTTTGCATTTGTGAAATGTTTTTTTTATGAATATATTATGATTTTTTGTGTGTGTGTGTGTGTGTGTGTACGTGAATTAGGTTTCATGCATGTGAAATTGTCTACGCATGTGTGAATCATGTTTTTTGCGTTAATTATATTTGAGACTAATCTGCTTCTATATGGGAAAAAGGCATTCTAACAGACTAAAAAAATACTCCCCTGAAATTTACTTCGATTCAAGACTGTACTATGGAAATGAACTTGAGTTTTCTTGTGTGTGCTTACCAGATCAGATAAGTCTTGTATTCTTCCGGGAAGTAGACTGTTATTCTCCACAGCTATCAGAGTCTAGGCTTCAACTGGCAGCATTCCTTCTTGTCTGAACAGGATTCTGAGGAAAATAATGCAAAGATGAAAAAGAACTGTGAGATTTAGAGAATTACTAGATGTGCAGCGCTATCAAAAAGCACCATGACGCATGCCAAAAACCTGAAGTGGTGTTAAAGCCATAATCAAAAGTTCAACTCATGTTAAACAAGAGGCTTTTTGTGATCTTTTTTTTTTTTTCTTTATGTAACCAACCCATGATCATCATAAATACAGCCATGTACCCAAAGATAATGTAGAATCTCTACTGAACTCAAGTTACTCAAAGGAAAAGTCCTTCAGACATTATACTAATATGCTAACTAGGTTCTCAGGCAACATTTCTGATTATTATCAATTCTGAAAATAGTTGTGCTGCTTAATATTTCTGCAGAAACTGATGCATTTTTTCAGGATTCTTTGAGAACAGATCAACTGAACAATTAAAAGGAACAGCATTTATTTGCAATAAAAATCTTTTGTAACATTATAAATGTATTTGCTATCACTTTTGACCAACTTGTATCAATGTATCCTTGCTAAAAAAAAAGTTAGGCTAGTACATAGGCTTATATTAGACGTCTTTAACTAGGCTTACTTCATGTTACCTAGTTAAACACACTTTTGCTATTGAGGAGGGATATGGGTATGTATAGGAACAGGTTTGGTGGTATAGGTAGGTTTAAGGGTGGGTTAAGAGGTCTAATTACAGATATAATTACATGCATATATATATATAAAATATTGGGCAGATTGTTTCCCCTCTTTAGGTCCTCGAAATGAATTTATTTAAAAAATAAAATGTTTTGACGCACGTAAAATCACATATACTTTATTTTATATTTGACTTAATAAACAAGCAAATAATTAGAAATGACTTATTTTAAGTATATTGGACAAATTAGCTTATTAAGTTATAAAAGAAAGAAAAAAAAACGGCGAAAAAAATGACTTCAGAGACTCGCTCCTTGTGTCTTTTATGTCAATGCACCAATCACAATGCAGCCTCTCTCTCTCTCTCTAAAGCACTCCTGAATGGACACCATGCTGGAGGTCACTGACGATGCTGATGGAGAAAAATATGAAGGTTTTCAAACAGTGTGGCAAGCCTGAGGCAGCAGGTAGGCTCGGGTCAGCCCTCTACCTTGCCCAAACAGAACTATTCATTTCATTGCCCTTGTACCAGCATGAATTCAGCATTGAGCATTTGTTCTGTGTCTTTTTCTGAGTCTCTCACCTTTCTTTGTACCCCAGTTCTGCGGCGTATTTGAACTGCATCTAACCGAGACTGTTCTCTCTCTCACCTTAACACACCTCTAACAGTCGTTCTCCAGGGACGGTTATTGCTACAACTGTACGGTCTGTACTCAAGTTCTTTCTCTTCCAGTGCTCAAGAAGAATAAAATGTATCTTGTTAAACGTCCCACACATCCTACATTTTTAACGTTACCCGAATTCCTGAAAGATATTTTGCGGTGTTTAATTCCAAACTCACACGCCTGGCTTCCCAATTAACCAAGTTGATGCCGCAGCACCAACTGAATCTGGGTGCACAACGCTTAATTCAATTGAGTATTAACTGTTATTTTCTCCACGCAAAAAGAAAAAGCAGCACCCTCAGCCGCGTAAACATCTTCCGTTCCGCGCAAATCTGTCTTCTCGATCGCTTGATCAAGGTATCTGTTCTCCAAAGTGTTTCAAGAGCCAGCAGCTTTGGGGCAGACAGCTTTGAAGCCCCTGGAAATACAACACGAGCACTGAGAAAAGCTCCACTTTAGCTCCCCATGTCCGTCTCTCGTCGCTTTTCTGGCAGCTCGCACAATCCCTCTCCTCCAACATGCCATCCAAAAATAAGGACAGACGATCTCAGGATTCTTTAATGAACTGTCAAGCGTCTCAGCTCCAGGGTGTACACAAAGATAGGCACCTCAGCAGAGCTCAAACTTACTGTACAGAATAGAGTAAAAAAGAAAGCTTTCACCTGAGTATTTCTAGCTCAGTGTTAGGTGTTCTCCATTTTATGTCAAAGTAAGCGATCTAAAGTGTTGATTGCTGAAATGTTCATTTGCTTTTGCTTTAATATAGTTGACCTAAGGTGATATGATTCACACAACATCCACACAGCACAGGGCTCTTTTTACAACTGTCATTTTGTATAGCCAATTCGCAACAATTCAAATCATGTATGCGGTAGAAAAATGTTTTCTACTAGACATTGTACAGATTTTTTTAATGAGGTTTTAATCAAAATCACCTGAAGGCCTATTTGTGGAAATATTTTGGTGGCACAGAATTCATTTTTATTAACTTTGAAAGTAGTTTTATAATGTAAAATTCATGAAAATAGGGGACAATTGTACAATTACAATATGATAGAATACTCACACATTATAAGCATAGCTCTGGAAACAATTGCTTTGAGCCAATCACCTGACCCATAAATGCCATGTGACTAATGACTATGAAAGCACAGGAGAATTATTTCCTGACAATAATAATAGACTAATAGCACTAAAAGGAATATGCAAAGTAACAAACTCTGCATATACACAGGAATACACCGCTAATGTTTAATGGCTGTCAATGGAAAGCAACAGAATGGTTTAGCATCTATGAAACTGTAAAACATATTTTTTGAAGTTCAGTGCAGTAGGTTTTACAAGTCTTTCTACTTTAAAATGTCATGTTTAATTCAACGTTACTTGCCATTTCTTTGTAATTATTTGTGAAATTGAGTAGCCTTTTCTGAGTGAAAATTGTTTCAAAGCAAATCCTACACCATTTAGAATAATAACTATCCAAGCATGCTAACCAGACAAACCATGATCCCTATTACCTGCACCTTAGTACTGGTCTACAACTAATGGTACGCAAAACCTAAAAACAATCTTCCATTTTGATTTTTGTTTGACATAATTCTCAAAAAAACTTCAATTCAAAGAAAAGGAAACTGCAAAGACTTAGCATAAAGCTCTAGACATAGAGGTGTTGGTTAAAGACAGGAGTTTGTTTCAACCTGAAGGCTGAACAAGCCTGCACATTCTCGCACACATCCACACAAAAGATGTTGCCACACAAAAACGCAATGTACAATTACTTTGTGATACAATACCCACACATTTGCATAATAAAGAACAATATGCCAGCTTAGCACAACTCTAATGATAGACCGCTGAAAATAGAGTCTCTCTCAGCTGAGGTACGAGGAACTGAAACTGTGTGTGAACTTGCAGTCGAGCAGACAACCAATCACGAAGCACAATTTGATAAACCGGTGAAGAAAATTGTCACTATATTAAACAGTCAATAGTCGCAGGTTATAACAAAAACCAAACAACCTTCTGTTTTCTAAGAAACACTGATTTGATTTGCTCTGATGTTTAAGTCTGTTATCACAGCAGAAGCAGCTCATCCAGAAAAGGGATGTGAGGATTATACACATATATGTTATTTGTGCTCTACTGCATTTTCTATGACAGCTCCCTGACATCAGTGGCCATGCGGATGGCTGCAAGCTAGTTTAGTGAAGGGGGCACAGTGTTTTATTATTATTTTTTCTCTTCCAAAGCAGCCTTTGTGTCTGCAGCACCCTGACACAGTGTCTGGGACATGATCCGCGTACATATGGGGTGCTAGCCTAATACAGTGATAAATCAAATGTAGCCTACCCATGTACAATACATTACCATGTCCAGCAATCGATTTAAAAGGTACATTGGGTTTAATTTGTCGTTTAATGAGATCTAATATGTGTCGGTAGTGAGATATTTGCCGTGTCAATGGCAAAAGTGTGTAAATAAATAAGACACAACAACGGTGTGTCTTTAAAAACACTCTTTTGTGAGAACTACTTACTTCTGCAACGGATTCGAATCTCAAATTGACAGTATAGTTCCGGTCCTTGATTCTGATTGGTTAATACCTAGTTCACACTACATGATTTTAAAATGTTGGGCTGAACTGTGCAGTTCACATTACATGACTTGCTCTCAGTGAAATCATGAGTGTTCAAGTTGTTTAGCTGTTCACACCACACAACACAACGTGATTGATCCACAACAGGAGGTAACTCACTACACGAGTTAACAACGCACTGCATAGAGATACAACCACGATAGGATGATAAGAGCATATCATTTGTGACTCAATGAGAGCTGTTTTAGTACTAGTACGGTCTAAATCCTGAAAATAATCAAACAAATAACGAGTTGACAACAACACGATTCTATCTGGTCTAGAAACCATGTTTTGTAACGAAAAACCACGCAATAAAACGAACCAGAAATGACGCGAAACTACAGAGAAGAACATAACACGCGAATATGGACGTCAGACAGAAACTAGTGCTGCACACTGTTTGCTCGACGATCTGCTCTGAGAAAAAAAATGCAAAAAAGAAAAAGTAAGATTTACCTGGTGTCCTCAACCCATGCGTTGCTATGATTGGCTGTACTCATGACATCACTGAGATTGAGTCGCGCGACTGCTCGAGATATCTAGCATGCTAGATATTTTTCTGAGCTCGGTGACCTGTCTGCGAGGTGTCTGCGAGCTGTCTTTGATGCGTTGTTGGCTCTTTCACACTAACGGATTGGCGAGCGTTAATCGTCCGCTAATCGCCCGCGATTTGCACGCGATAACACCCTGACTTGTCGGCGACTCAACGATTTGCAAATCGGGCTTAAATCGGGCTTAAAATCACGTAGTGTGAACTAGGCTTAAGCCGCGTTCGAAGCCGTTGTAAATGACCATAGACAGTAAAAGACTTGTGACCGCATTACATTAGCATTACTGCGCTTCACTTTGTGATTCTTTGTTGCTGCATGTGTTGGTTGGCAACCTCTTTGGAGTGAAGTACCAAGAGGCGAAACTCCGTTGCAGTTTTGACAACAATCGCTAGATGGCGCTGCTGTCGCCATTTTGGACTGAACCAACGGTTTACTGTTAGCACAACGATACATCATTAACATCATTGTCTGGAAATTAAAATTAAAGTCAAAAAAATAAATTAGCTGCATGGAGGTGTAAAACAGTGAGTGCAGGGAAGTTGTAGCCGATGTGACAAGGAAAAGTGCAAAAACAATTGAAATTCAAATTCAATTGAAACAGGCCCCGCCCTCCAAGAGGGGCCCCAACAGACCAGCAAAATCCCATTCATTTTCTTCGGTAGCATGGGATATTGATTTTCAGCCATAAAGTGTAAACCATTCAAAGTAGATTGACCACGAGCTACCGGGATGTGAATCTTTCTGCACCTATAAAAGCCATAAGGTTTGAAATCAACCTTGTTATTTGCGATCTTCTGAAGAAATACTACACTACCCACAGATCTAAGCAAAACACTGACGTCTCTGATTGGTCGAACTCACGGTTACCATGGCGACATTTACCACTCCCTCGAACGGCTTAAGCGATCTGAAGTATTATACAGTATTAGTAGTATGTATTTATACTTTTGCCTTTTTTGCCGTTTGGTTAAAATGTTATTTTGAGCAGGAAAATAATTTTAAGAGGAAATGAAACGTACATATGCCAGTGGTGACTGGAACTAAAGAAATTGGACATCAAAAGAAAACCTTTCTTCAGTCTACCAAAAGTGAAGTTACCCTGCATGAAAGGGCGAGACTTCTTCCAACTTAAAACGCTGTATAATTGTATATCATTTTAAACAAATAAGATTGGATTATTTCTATGTTGAGCTGCCTGTTCATGAAGCTGAAAGTGCACGTAATAAAATAATATACCATTGATGCAAACCAACAGGAATCCTTGCTTTTTATGCTCTATTATATTTATGTTTTATGTGGGTAGGGCCCCATTTTAGTTATTGAAACGGGCCCCAGATGCTTAAGGCCGCCGCTGTATACATGGTGAAACTATTCAATAGATTCAGAATCCATCATATATTACGGATATAAAATCGACAACTCTCACGGCCCAAACAGAAGCGCAACAGAAATATTTTAAAGTCAAGTCATCTGTAAATCTGTACATTAACACTCTCTTTCTGTATAAAATGTAACGTGTTGTTGAAAGTTTTTATCAGTCAAGATGAATTATAAAACTAAAGACTAAAATATATAGAACAGCTAAATTACC